GGCAGGTAAGCAAACCAGGTGCAGGGGCTGCCCCACCTGCACCTCTGGCCAGGATGGAGCAAGGGCTGACGGCTGTAGCAGACCCAATAAAGGGCTCCAGACCAGCTTTTCTCTTACTGGAAACTCAGGTCCAGTCTCGTGCTCAACTCCACCTCCTTCATCAGAGGCTGAGTTCAGGAAGTCTTTCCATGGTCTAGACTAGATTTAGGGCCCAACTGGGGCTTTTCTCCTAAACTTGCCTTCTAAAGGAGGAGAAGACACCCCAGTGCCCCTGTTTCAGGGGCATTATTCTCTGTGCTTTTGAGAGGATGAACCTGTGTGTGCCTGTTCCTTCCCAGCTGCTGGACCCAGATGGCCACAGCACGAAGGAACATGTGTGTACAGCCTTGTGCTGCCATGGACACAGCCCCAGGCCTGTGTGGTCCTTGCTAGGGGTCAGTGTTCCAAGGACTACTCAGCCATGTGGGGGCCACTGGAGCTGTGGATCCCATATGGCTGGGCAGTCCTCGGAACAAGGACTCACTGAGCCATGTGGGGCCCACTGATACCGTGGATCCTGGTACCTACTAGCCCTGAAAAGCCCTAGGGCCAGAGTTAAGGCAGGCTTTTGCCTGGGTGGTCACACACATGCCCCTGAGTGCACACCCACCCCACAGTCCAAGGCTCCACTGGCTGAGCACACCTCTTCTGCCACCAGGGTACTACTACGATCTGGACGACTCTTACGATGAGAGCGACGAGGAGGAGGTCAGGGCCCACCTGCGTTGCGTGGCTGAGCAGCCACCCCTTAAGCTGGACACATCCTCTGAGGTACTGGGCTCTCCCAGCTGCTGTGGCATGCTCTGGGCTGGGGTCTTGGTCCCCACCTCAGTGCCTGACTCTTGGCTTCCATTTCCCTGGCCGTCCCACCTTCGCGAGGTCCTGGCATGGTCTGACACCCCACCCACAGTTCCTCTGGGGGCCATCACGGAGTCAGCCGTGGTAATCTACAGATTAAGGACCCTAGGAGAGGGACCCCGAGACAGTGAAAACATACCACTGTCAGTGGCTTCAAACTCATTTGTTTTCTTTCCCAATCTAGAAGCTAGAGTTTTTGCAACTTTTTGGCTTGACCACCCAACAGCAGAAGGAGGAATTGGTGGCCCAGAAGCGGAGGAAGCGGCGGAGGATGCTGAGAGAGAGAAGCCCATCGCCTCCGGTGGTGCAGAGCAAGCGGCAGACACCTTCACCGAGACTGGCCCTGTCCACCCGCTACAGCCCAGATGAGATGAACAACAGCCCTAACTTCGAAGAGAAGAAGAAGTTCCTGACCATCTTCAACCTGACCCATATCAGCGCCGAGAAGAGGAGAGGTATGGCGTCACCTGGCCTTGCATAGGGTGGCGAGGAGGGGCTCACTGGGGTGGCCGCGGGGTTTTCATTCAGAAGCAGGTGGGGCCCATGGCCTTCAGGCAGGATATGGGAACACGCCATCCTGAGGCAGCGTCTCTGCCTTCTCACACCCACCCTGGTGGCTCTGACGTGGCATGTTCAGCCTGTTTGCTCTTGTTATATCCTGGGTGAACACAGACTCGAGGGTTTTCTTCTTGTGTGTAGAGCCTGTCTACAGCTGACTACAGCCCTGTCTCTCATTCACCTTCTAGTGCCCACCAGGCATATCTTTGAGCAGATGCTTTGGCAGTTCCGCCTGGAAGTGAGGGGAGGTGCCAGGGACCCCGGGTCTGCATGGTGTAGGCTTTTCCTCTTGCTGGACCACTGATGTGGTCCACTGGACTTTGTATTCTGATGGCAGGAGGGCTGGGGAAGGGGATATGGGCATGGCCTGTAGCCAAGGCAGCATACCCAGCACAGGCTGTGACTGGATGGCCTCCCCTGAGAGATGCTTCTAGGTAGATCAGTCTGGCCATCCACATCCATCTAGACCCTTTGGGCTAGACGCACACAGCAGGAGCTGTGCGGCAGCTGCACTTCTGCGGGTTTCTGCTTCCGTCTGCCCATCGTACACCACCATGGCGCCAAGACACTGACATTACCAGCTATGCCCTTCTTGTGCCTCTGGGTCCCTCAGACACCTGGCCAACTCCCTGGAGAGGCAGAGGAAAGCAAAACGTCCTTCTTGGTTCCCTGGTTACTTCAGCGTGTTTCTTCATTGGACCGTAGCAGTTTATTTTCCTGTTTTCACCAGTAGGTGGAGGTTCTGCTTTCCCTTTGAGGGTTGGTAACATGCTGGTCACCAGCACCAATCCCAGAAGCGTGCAGTTTTGTGTACACAAAGCATCTTTCTGCGTGGCCAAATTTCTAGAGGAAGCCATAGGCACCCTAGCTGCCTGTTTCATGAAGAAGGGCCTTGGAAACAGGGACACACTCCACGGGACATGCTGAGATTGTCGTGCCTTACCAGGACATGATACCACTTGTGGGATTGCACTTGAGTGCCTGGAGTGTGGGGAGAGAAGGCTCTGTTCAGAGGCCAGCCGTGGGCCTCTGGGGTTTCCTGTCTCTTAAGACTCTATCCTGCGAAGTCACCACAGAAGAGCCTGTTGCCTGTGTCTTAAGACTCTGTCCTGCCGAAGTCACCATAGAAGAGCTGTGATTACTGCACGATCAGCTGCTTTGGAATATGCCTGGACCATTACATAGCAAGGCCAAGAGGAATCTGGGCATGCTCGTCCCATCCTGTGGCACTTAATTTTGGTTTTTCTTGGTTTAAAGTGCTTGCACCTGCCTGTCAGAACTAGGCTAGAATCCCACTATCCTTCCCTCTCAAAAATGATACAACTGCCTCGTTAATCTCAGGCTGCTTTTCTCATAGACAAAGAGAAACTTGTTGAAATGCTCCGTGCCATGAAGCAGAAGGCACTGTCAGCAGCAATGGCAGACTCCTTGACAAACTCTCCGAGGGACAGTCCTGCTGTCTCCCTGAGCGGTAAGGGAAGGACAGCCCTGCCCACCATGCCGGGGACCACCCTATGGGCTGCCTGGGGTCAGAGGCCACCACTCAAGGTGTTCATCGTTGTGAATCTGACCTCCTGGAGACCTTTCTGTCCCTCTCATGCAAGTGTACAGTTCCCACACAGTGGGGACAGTTCTCAGGACACAGTGTAAGAGTCAGGAAGCAGGTTCAAAATTGAGGTGAGGGTCCCAGCTTCTGTAGAGCTCTGTGAGGTGGTCAGTGTGGTCATAACCATCATCCCTCTGCTGCGGCTCCAAGGCTTGTCTGAAGGTCAGTCCAGGGCTGCCCTGAACCACTGAGGTGCTGTCCCAGGAAGGACCTGCTCCAGCCTCATAGCGTGCAGCCTTGTCCATCACCAGCCTGCCTGCTGGCCCTGCTGTGGCCTCCTCTTCTTCCATCTCTGTCTCACCCTTTCTGCCGTGCAGGCCTTGCCAGCAGCTGCTTTCCCACCTCTGCTCTTCTTACGTCTCTGCCAGCACCGCTCTGCCCTACCAGATGAAGCAGGGCATCTTCACAGCCCATCTCTGCTCCCAGTCCTCACACGTGTTCTTTCTTGCCCAGTTGGACCGAAGCAACTTGCTTCTTCAGACTCTTTCTCCCCAGGTGCTTTCTTGGGGCACCTTTCAAGGATGGACTTGCTGCTGAACAGCCAGTGACTTCAGACTGTAGCTGTGTGCACAGGGTTACTTGTCCTTTAAGTCTTGTTTTGTACCAGGTCTTTGTTAAATGGAAGCGTTAGAGACCAGGGTTCACGTGCTGAACACTCAGCCTGTTAACTTGCAGGTTTTAACGTTTTCTTTCGCTTTCTGTCTCTAAAAGAACCAGCCACACAGCCAGCCTCTCCGGATACAGATAAGCCTGTTGCTACTTCCTTGTCTGATGTCCCAAAGGCCGTGGAGTCTGGGAAACTGGAACAGCTCCGGCCCCAGGAGCCAGCCCCTGCCAGTGGTGAGAAGGCCAGGCTGAGTGAGGCCCCCGGGGGCAAGAAGAGCCTGAGCATGCTTCATTACATCCGGGGCACTGCACCCAAGGACATTCCTGTGCCGTTGTCCCACAGCGTCAACGGGAAGAGCAAACCGTGGGAGCCCTTCATGGCAGAAGAGTTTGCACATCAGTTCCACGAGTCGGTGTTGCAGTCCACCCAGAAGGCCCTACAGAAGCATAAAGGTAATGAGGCTGCCCGTCCCCACTCGGCTCCCATGCTGCTAGAGCAGCTGGCTAATGGTCCTGAGCGCCAGCAGCTGCTCCGCCGAGGCTCTGGGCTCCCCCTACTGAGTCACGTGCGCAGGGATGGTGCCTCTGAAACCTCAGTGCCCGTGAGGCACCTGAGGATCGCATCAGGTACAGGCCTGTGGTGGGGCCAAGACTCTGCTCCCAGGAGGCTCCTGGTGACCCTGACCCTGCTGGTCTCTGGACCATACTCCCAACATGTGTAGCAAGTAGTACGGAGTTATATCAAATCCAGAAGTGGTGCCCTACTCTGTGCAGTCTTCAGCAAGAAGACTTCTAGAGTCTCCCACAGGACCTACCAGCCAGTCCTGTGGTCCTTTGTCTGGGCACCAGTGGGTGTCCACTACACCAGGCCTGGCAGCAGTTACAGAACTGTTGCCTTAGCTCCACAGCTGTCTTCAGATCCACTGAAGTTCAGAGAATGGGGGGGTCACTACATTTTATCCTACGAATCAAAAGTTGAAACTGATTAGAAAAGAATCCTCAACAACTGAGTAACTACTGAGGATGAATTACATAAATGTTTATGAACTCCAATAGCTAGGAGAAAATAATTTAGTTATGCCAAAACTGTTTGTTTGTTTTGTTTTGAGACAGAGTCTCAAGCTGTTGTGTCACAGCTCAAGCGATTCTCTTGCCTCAGCCTCCTAAGTAGCTGAGACTACAGGCACCTGCCACACTGCCCGGCTATGTGTTGTTGTAGTATTTGTCATTGTTTTAGCTGGCCTGGGCTGGATTCGACCCTACCAGCCTCGGTGTATGTGGCCAGTGCCCTACCCAGTGAGCAGGAGCGCTGCCCAAAAAACCATGTTTAAGTGTTTCTATTTTATCACAAGCCATAACAGCTGAATAAACAAACAGCGTTTTAAGGAGTATCCATCCCTTCACAGGGTGCTGCTGCCTTTTACCTGAGTAAACACTGTTGACAGGTAAAGTGACCCCTAAGAAGCAGAGGGGAGAACACCAGGCCACTGGTTTTAACAGTGATTGACAGACTCCCCCAAAATCAAGACAAGTGCTTGATGGGATTTTTATCATGAATTTATTTGAAAATCAGATTTTTCAAGACAGTTTGAAGATAGAGTTCCTTTCACAGGGGTAGCTGTCAGCAATGTTACATTAGCCTTACTGTGTGTTCTAATTCCATGAAACTCCAAAGAACAAAGCTTGAGTTGGCCCTGTGCAAAGTACCTTGAGTCCACGCAAATGAAACTGTGGGTGGCATTGCATTAGGTATTAGGAGTAGTCCACAGCATACAGGTGGCAGTATGTAGGTTACCTGCAACTACTATGCCATTTAACAGACTTGAGCGTCTTTGGGTTTTAGTATCCTGGAGGGTCCTGGAACTAATACAGCAAGCAAGGGACGAGTGGACTGTAGACTGCTTCTAGACGCATCCAGGAGCCCTCCCAGTCCTTTCCAGATGCACTTTACACAGTCTTTTCTGTGGCCTTAGGACATGTTTCCTGCCTTGTTTTATTCCTATTCGTTCCTCGTACACTAGACTGTCTCCTCACAATTTTGAAGTTACCCAGCCAGTTTGAGCCAAACCAGTCCATTAACTAAGCCTGCCTTGGGGGCTGCTGTGCCCTGAGACAGCAAAGACCCTGCTTAAACAGGTCACAGCAAAGCTGACTCCCAGCAGAGGGCAGAACCCCAGCTGTGCATTTCAGGGGAAGAGGGGAAAGTATTGGCTGAGGGCCAACTGTCCCCACCCTCACACACCAGGATGTGTGGGAGCTCAGTTTGTTGCTGTCCTGAGGCGGTTCTGGCGGCTCCCTCCTCTTCACGCTTCACCCTCTTGTCTGCCTAAAGACCAGCAGCCAGAGCTACCTCTGCAAACCACACCCATGTCCATACCCCCCACACTGTGACATGTGCCCTGTCCTCTCCTCACCAGGGAGCGTGGCTGTGCTGTCTGCAGAGCAGAACCACAAAGTTGACACATCCGTCCATTACAACATTCCTGAGCTACAGTCCTCCAGCCGGGTCTCTCTACCCCAGCACAACGGGCAGCAGGAGCCCCCCACAACAAGGAAGGGGTCCCCCACCCAGGAGATGGACCAGGACTCAGAAGATGACGATGAGGACGAGGATGGAGAAGAGGACGAAGAAGCCCCCCGGCGCAAGTGGCAAGGGATTGAGGCAGTTTTTGAAGCCTACCATGAACATATAGAAGGTAGGAGGGGGGTGGTGGGAGCAGGGCCTGTGGTCAGGAAGTTAAGTGACCGATGCGTGTAGGACTCTGCCAGCCTTGGTTTCCATGGCACCAGAACTTAGACTTCCTGGGGCACACTAGACACAAACCCCAGCGGATGAGAGGTCCCCAGGCTGGTGGTACTTTCTAAGCTCAGACCTCGAGCCGTTCTCACTGGGGACATCTAAGTACTGTGACACCAGCTGTGTGCACAGTCTGTCACTTCACATTATAGCCCAAACACAGGCCCTGCTCTCTGGGCTACATCTGAGACACTGTCAGTCCTGACATGCCTTGGCTTAGTACATGTAGCTGGAGCCCCAAACCCAGCCTGCCTCATGACTGGCCACCACCTCCCTCGCAGCCTCGCAGGTGTGACCAAACCCCCACCCCTGCACCACAGAGACAGCTCTGTGCCCGATGTGGCACTCAGTTTGCAGCTTCCTTTACCCCAGTTCACCTCTGGACAAGACTTTGCCAGAGAAGACAAAGCCTTTTTTTTTTTTTTTTT